GTGGATTTCAAATTTGATTTTATTCTGTTAGAGAATGTTGGGGATTGGATATGAAATGTCCTCTGCAGGCTTCTGTTGAAGGCTTGGTGTACAGCTGGTGGCATTATTTTGGGAGGTGGTGGAAATTTTAGGACGTAGTGTCTGGCTGGAGGAAGTAGGTCACTGGGGACATGCCTTTGGAGGTTATAACTTGTCATGACCCTTTCCTATCTCTGCTTCCCAGCTGCCATCAGGCTAGCAGCTTTGCTTTACCACACTCCTGCTGCCATGATGCTCTGACTCACCTCAGGCCCAAGCAATGCAGACAGCCAACCTATGGACTGACATTTTGGAAACTGTGAGTCAAAATCAATCTTTCCTCCTTTGAACTACTTCTCCTGGGTATTTGTCACAGCTATGCAAAGTCTGACACAGAGAATACACTTTGTGTTATTTCTATTCTTCAAAGTTGATTGAGGTTTGCTTATTAACTAGTGTGTGGCCTGTTCCATGTGTCCTCGAGAAAGTGCATCTGTTGCTGTTGGGTGGAGTGCTCTGTAGGTGTCCGTGGGATCATGTTGGCTTATCCTGTTGTTCAAATTTTCAGTTTTCTTGTTGCTTTCCTATCTAGTTCTAATTACTGACAGAGGGGTCATTTTGAATTGTTTATTTCTCTCTTCTTTTCTGTCAGTTTCTGCTTCATGTATTTTGGTGCTCTGTTATTGGGTGCATACATATTTATAATTGTTACCTCTTCCTGGTGTTGACTGTTTTTTTTTTGTTTTTTTTTGGTGAGACTGGAGTTTGAACTCAGGGCTTCATGCTCATAAGGCAGGTGCTCCCCTGCTTGAGTCATACCTCTGGTTATTTTGAAGATAGGGTATCATGAACTACTTGTGTGGGCTAGCCTCCCAAGTAACTAGGTATGAGCCACAGGTGCCAGCAGTTTCAACCCTTTTGCATTATAATTATTCTTTTTCTCTAGAATAATTTTTGGTCTAAAGCTTATTTTGTCTGATATGAGTGGCTATAGCTATTCCAGTTTTCTTGTGATTGTTTGCATGATACCTCTTTTCTCATCTCTTTATTTTCAGTCTGCTTCTGTGTGTGTGTGTGTGTGTGTGTGTGTGTGAGTGGGGATTGAACCTAGGGCCTTGGGCTTGCTAGACAGAGCTCTACCACTTGAGCTACATCTTCAGCCTTTTTGCTTTTAGCTTATTTTTCAGACAGGGTCTTATGCTAACTTCACTCCACCTAGCCTTGAACTGCATCCTCCTGTCTCTATCGCTAGAGTAGCAGAGACCACATGTATGAACCATCACACCCAGCTTGTCTTGGAGATAGTGTCTCAGTAAATTTTGCCTGGCTGGCCTTGGACCACAATCCTCCTGTCTCTGCCTCCTGAGTAGCTGGGATTATAGATGTGTACCACCAAACGTGTTTTTAAATCTAAAGTGTTTCTTCTGTGGACAACATATAGTAGGATCCTGTTTTATATGCAGGTTGATAATCTTTCTGATTATAGTTTAATCCACTCACTTAATGTTACAATGAATATAGTCAGATTTATGTCTACCATTTTGCTTTTTGTTTTCTATGCCTCATGTATTTTTTTGTTTCTCTGTTCCTGTTACTGCTTTCTTTTGCGTTATGTATTTTCTAATGTAACATTTACATTTCTTTCATGATTTTCACTATATTTTGTGTGTATTATTTCCCCAGTTGTTGATCTAGGGATTACTATATTCATCTGATCAGAACTGGCTTCAGAGTTATACTAACTTTAATTCTGATGAGATACAGAGCATCTTACAAGCCTTGTGGAGCTGCCCAGCTTGGCCTTGGCTGTGCTGTGGGGAGCAAGGGAAAGGCTGTGCCCATACAAAGCCTGAAAGGCAAGGGGAGGGCAGGGTCGGCCCAGGAAAGGGGTGCACAGTGGCTGAAGGCAGACCTGTGAGGGCTACCCATCCTTCTCAGGACCAGTCTCAGAGAACAGTTTTCTGAGAAGGGTCCTTACAACTCGGCTGTTATTTATTGTTTTGTTTTTGCAAATAATCCATTAGCAGTTGAGAAAGCTGTTGCCTCCAATTACTATTGAATTTGTTTCATTCTCCGTAAATTTCTAGAAATTTTTGCCTGATGTAATATTTTTGCCTTGTGTAGTTTCTGTGAGACTTAGTGCATGAGTTATTTTTTACTGAAAATTACTCTTTATCTACCATAAGTGTTGATAAATGAAATGACTTTGTCACTTAATTTTGTCTTGAGTTATAGTGCCTTATACTAAATGACTGATTTTCAATTTGTTTCTGCTAGACATACTGATTTTCTCCACTAAACCTTTTTTTTTTTTTTGTGGTACTGGGCCTTGAACTCAGGGCTTTCACCTTGAGCCCTTTGTTGTGAAGGTTTTTTTTGAGATAGGGTCTCATGAACTATTTGCCTGGGCTGGCTTCGAACTGCGATCCTCCTGATCTCTGCCTCCTGAGTAGCTAGGATTACAGGTGTGAGCCACCGACACCCAGCTGTTTTTATTTTTATTCCTTTTTAAATTTTATTTTTTTTGCAATCCTGGAGTTTGACCTCAGGGCTTTGTGCTTGCTAGGCAAATGCTCTACCACTTGCTCTCAGTCTGAGTCTGTTTTTTCCAAATCCTTTTCATATCAAGTAAAAGTTGATCTCATGTAAGTAGACAGTAGAACAGTGGTTAATGGAGTTTGAGGAGAAGGTAGTGGAATGAAGCAGGTACAGGGGTGCAACTGGATAAGAGGAATAACCTCTAATATCTCATAGTACAGAGTAACAATGGCTGACAACATTTAATTGACTATTTCAAAATAGCTAGTAGAGAGGTTTTTGTGGGGGTTCTGGGGATTGAATTTAGGGCCCTGAAATGCTGTGCATGAGCTCTACCACTGAGCTACACCTCCTAGAAAGATTCTGAATGTTCCCAACATGAAGAAATGATTCATGTTTCAGGTGACTGATAGGCCAGTTACCCTGATCTGATCACTATGCATTTTATACATATATTGAAATGTCATTCTGTATTTGAAAAATACATACAATTAGGTGTCAATTTAAAAAATTTTTAATTAAAAAAATCAGTCCCCCTGTGCAGTGAATTTCTATTTTAATAAACATGCCCACTGCATTTTGGAGTGTCTTGTCTGACAGAGTAGCCGAGTGGTTGAGCAGGTGATGTGACTCATGGTGGCTGTGTGGGGATTTCCTGGTGCAGTGTCTGTCTGGTTGTCATGGATGCTGTGTTGCTCAGCAGTTCTGAGATGACAACTTGCAAGCTCATGGGTCTCCCAGGTAGCTTTTTAAACATGGAGGTAAATCATGAGTAGAAGACAGCTAATAGCTCAGGGGGCCTCACGTGAAGAGGCAGTGGGAGGCTCTCCTCTGGGGAACACGTGGAGCCAGTGGAGAAGCTCACGCTTCCCCCTCCTGTAAGTGAGAGAAGCAGCAGAAAGCAGGGAAGAAGGTAGGGTGAGGGAGAGAGACAGGCTGCCCTGACACTTCCGGTCCTGGAATATAGCTTTGCCTAGAGCCAGATGCCGACCCCTGGGCTTTTCAGGTTTGTAAGTCAATATATTCTCTTTTGAATTTGAAGTTTAACCTGCAATTGGGGAAATCTCGAGGAATCCTGGGACAGTGCCTCCAAGTTTAAAGCCTGGGCCTTCAGCGGGCCTGATCAAAGCTATGAATGAAAGAATCCCCAGAAAGAATCTGGTAATGGCTGCAACGCGATGCCACCTAGCTTGACTGGACACTGCCAGAGGCCTTTTTATTTCAGGAAAATTTCACACACACACACCCCTAGGGCTCACTCAGGTGCTCAAGCAGTGCAGCTAAGGAGTCCAAGTTTCTGCCCCACAGTTTCTGCCTCCTGCTCTTTACCTGATGGCAGTGCTGCAGGTGTGCCAAGGTCGTGTTCTCTCAGCTTGGTTATGGGGAGCAGGTAGGAGCAAAGGCAAAATTCTCCTGCAAAACCTTCCTGAAGGCTTCACCCTTTCTTTAGCAGGAACTAGGTCTGTCGGGAAAGGCAGCATCCCGCAAACAGACATGTAATTGCCAGGGGAACTTTACCCCTCACGACTCTCCTCCTAAACTGCTAGAAAGCCTTCCCTTTTCTGAGATTAAAGAATCTCCAGTTGCCACCTGCAAAAATTTGGATTCTTGAGCAGGGATGGAGGATGGAGGGTGGAGGGGAATGGGTAGGAAATGCCAGATAAACAACAGAGTTTGCCATAGGTATAGAGCCAGGTTTATGTGTGGCCTGAGGGCCTGGGTTTTCTTTCTCTTTTTTTTTTGGTGGTACTGGGGTTTGTACTCAGGGATTCTGCTTGCTAGGCAGGTGCTCTACCATTTGAGACACTTCACCAGCCCTTTTTTTGTACTGAGTATTTTTGAGATAAGGTCTCATGAACTATTTACCCAGGATGGTTTTGATCTGTGATCTTCCTGATCTCTGCCTCCTGAGTATATAGGATTATAGGAGTGAGCCACTGGCACCCGCTGAGCCTGCATTTTCAATTAGGTGGTTTCCATGAAGGCTAGACACCTGGTGTGCTGCAGATCCAGGTGAACTGGTGAGTGGATGAATGCCTGCCAGAGCCATGGCTCTGTTGATGCCACTGGACAAGCATAGCTTCTGCTCCTTTAGCAAATGAGGCACAGCTGTTGAACACCGTGTCTCTTTGGTTCTAAAAGGCTTGGGTTCAAACTGCCCTGTGCTTCTGTGATCTTCTGCTAACTTCTAGGTTACTTTTGAAGTGACCTCCTGCACCTCTGCTCCTTGTGCTCACGGGCTCATCAGAGGTGGTCAGTCACAGCACTGGCCAGGGCTCAGAGACAGACCTGCTTTTCAGAGGAAAGCCCCAGGGTAATTAAGGGACAAGGTGAGGGGGAGAGATAAAAAACATCAGCCCTAGAGGAAAGACTCAAGGACTTGAGAGCACCCAGGCACTGCCTGGGGCTCTCCAGAATTTGGAGACCTTTTCATGGGGGATGGGGCACATGTCAGACTCTGTCAGGCTGGACAAATGGGCATAAAAGCCTAGTTAAGCCAAGCCTCTACCAAGAAGTTTCTCTTTTCCAACTTGCAAGACAGACTTTGGCCCCAAGAAAGTGTCTCAGAGGGGTATTGTGCTAATGAGATGAACTGGAGATGCAAGGAAGTGTGAGACTGGGGGGCCAGCAAACATCAGCCCTAGTTTAGTCAGAAGCAGGGTCCAGAGGCTGGTAAGAGAGCAGCAGGCCCTATGATCTGGCCCTGCCTTCTTCCTCTCCACCAGTGTCTTATCAGGGACACCATGTGGGACCTGGAGTATCTGGTGGAGAGGAGTATATTCAGGGTACACCATTTGGGTGTGCAAGCCTCGGGAGTGCTATGCAAAAGGGAGAGACCAAGATGCACTCCCAGACTGCCTAAGGAGGGAAGGTGCCTTCAATGCTCACAGGATGGGGCCTGAGGGTCTTTCCAATTCTTGTCAACCCCAGACTTCAAGACTGTATACATGCCATCAGGTGGGCTTGGTAGCTGTTTGTGGAGGCACATGCCAGTAATCAACGAGGTGAAGAGGATGAGACAGGAGGATCATGAGTTCGAGTGCCTTTACAAGAGAAATGGAAGGGAAGGAGAATGGAAAAAAAGTCCACACACAGTTGTACATTTTTTATATAGAATTTGTACAATATATTTCTTCATTTGCATATTTTATCCACAACTTAACATCCTTTTTACAGGCTGAATGCTGATATAATCAAAATTCTTTCAACTAAATAAGAAAAATTGAAAATCGTAAACCTGTAAGAAAACAAATTAAGAACGATGATGAAAATAAGTCGCTGCTCTCATTGGGAGCAGTGTCTGTACAGTGCATATGATTGGGAACAGAATTTCTTATGATTAGGCACATGTTTCCACAACATAGTACTCCTGCCAGTTTTGTTTCATTCCAGGCAGTCTTGCCTAAGAAGGATCCAGGGGATCCTGGCCTTGATGATAATGCTTTGGGATCCCACTGCCCTGGTGGTGGGATCTGGCTTGGCAGCGCCACCCAGTGGTCAAAGGCAGAGGCAGCAGTGGGCTACTGCCAGAGAGCATCAGTGGAGTGCGAAGGGAAAACTCAGGCTTGTTTTATGCAAACTGAAGTACAGAAACACCAAAACAGTAAGGGTGGCGAACAGAGACAAGCTATGAGGGAAACAGCATTCCAACTCCTCTTCTTGATAAGAGGTGGGAGTTGAGCTGGTGGTCTCTGCACTGAGGGAAGATCCTGGCCCTGCTGTCCATTTGCCCCCTTTACTTAGTCTGTCAGAGGTATGGAGGGGTATGAGGGGTGCCATCTCATCTATCTTCCAGCCATCTGTCACAGAGTCTGAGCCCATGGTGAGGTCCCTTCCCCAAGCACTGAGACTGTCTGATCCCCTCTCAGGAAATGCCTGAGACCTACTAGTCTCAGAGTGGTCCAGAACCCGGACCTTCTCTGAGGTGCAGGCAGCTGGCAAAGCAAGAGTGGTTTGGCAAAAGGGAAGGGGGTTTCCTCTCAGCCAGCAGCATTTGCCTCATCACTACTCCTTGATGTCAGTGTGCTGGGCTATAGGTCACCATCCTACTTGTTCCTTTCTCCTTTCTCCACCTCAACTCACTCTGTGGCCATTTCTCCTGCACCCACGGGCTTGGCTAAGAATTTCACTCTAGGGCTATGCAGGTTGCTTTATGCTCGCCTGGGCCAGAAGGCTCAGTGACCATGCAGGAAGATGCTCTCAGACCTGCAGACTCAGGTTCACCAATCCAGACCCCTGCACACTCCAGGGATTCTTCAGAGGCGAAGGGGCACACTGACCATGGCAATGTCGACTGGCCGAATTGGGCCCTGGCTGTAATGACCCCTCCTTGGGTTTGGCCCTGTGAGGTGCTTCTGCCCAGACACTTGCTCTTAAATAGCAGCACCTCAGGCACCTGCATTCCCACAAGTTCCACTCAGCTGATCCTCAGCCTGAAAGTTAACCCAGCTTCACACACTAACACACAATCATCAGTACTTCAGGGAGAGGCTAAAATCACAGAGAAAAACATAAAACAGCACTCACTAGAACTAATGTAGCTATTGCTAGACAGGTGACAGCCATACAGTTACTCAAAAGCCCAAAGTGACGGGTGTCATGGATCACCATGACCTTTGAGCAGAAATAAAAACAGGTGGGTTTTCACTGCTAAAGTAAGACCTCCTCTGAGAGCTACTGGTCTGAAGGTACAGACATTGGAGTAGCCATCCAGGGAGCCCATGGGCTTCCCTTCTAAAAACAAGAGGTGGAAACCAAAACACATTAAAGCTGAAAAAAAATGCAGCCATGCTGGGAGCCGCCATGTGGATGGATGTCCAGGGTGGCCGCTGGCTTCCCAAGGGCACTTGCTCTTGATGGGGAGTTCTCTGGGATGGGTGGGTGCTTGGGGAGCTAGTGGACACCTGTGCTGTGCAGAATGCTTGGGAATCGATGGTGGCTAGGAGGGACTTGCGTCGGTTGTGGTTTGGGTCGGATTTCCTAGTACCAAGAAGCAAAAGCAAAGGCATTACCAACCAGGGAGGCTCTGGGTGGATGATGCCTTCCCCAGTGCCTGTCCTCTGACAGCATGTGTGGGGAGTTCCACCCAGGGGAGGCGGAAACCTGCCAACGAGGCTGCTTTCAGGTCTTCTGCTCCATGGCTCCCAGGGGCGGCCTTGCAGGAAGCTGGGCACTCTTCCCAAGGGCCTCCCGCTGGCCCTTTTTGAGTCATTCTGCACTGCCTTGCTTTCTCTCACTTGTGGTGGTCTGCACATGTCAAGCCTGTGCATGGGGAGTTCTTGGAGATGCATTCCCATCTGGATGGGAATGGGAGTGAGCTCAAATAGAGCTGGGCACTGAAGCCACACAATTTTCTTGAATGAGGCTGGAGGTCTGTTCTTAACCCCTGTGGACAGATTAACCAGCTCATGCACATCACAGGGAGGCTAACACTGAACATTCCAGAGGTGGGTGGCCTTATTTGAGTAGTTGATGGCCAGGCTGATGGCAGCAATGTTCTGCAGAGCCTGTGGAGAGAAACCAGAGGCTATCACCAAGGGCTGTTCACTTGCCAGGCACGGGTGCTAATGAACAAGACCCCGAGCTAAGCACTAAAAAAGCAGCAATGGGGCCCTGAGGGAGCCACATGTGGATCCCTCACCTGGAGGCTCACAAGCTCCACTGAGAGACAGAAATCTACTGAAACCATAGGAAAACCCCAGAAGTAAGGTAGAATTCATCAGTGCCCACGGCAGCAGTCACGATGCTGGTCTAGGGCGCTGGTGGGCCTGGGAAAAAGTAATACAAAGCTGCAGAAGAGGAAGGGCATGGCACATACAAGAGGTGAGTGCCATTGCCAGGGGACCCCTCAGCAAGCCCAGAAACAGTGCTGGAAAGGTGGAAGGCAGGCTGAATGGAGGGGGAGAAGGGAGGAAGGACAGAAGGCAAAGAAACACCGGTGAATGAAGTGATGAGGGAGGGAGACTGGACACTGGAGCAGGCACAAGGGTCAAGCCCACAAGAAAGTTGCCATGCTAAGCTTCTGGTGTCAAAGTTGTCAAACATGAAATTTTCTTTAGACTGTGTCCTGAAACCATGGGTGGTGGCAGCAATCCTGGCTGGAGCCTGTTAGGAGGAAAGGGAGTTTTGACCCTGCTTACAGGTTTCAGGAGATTTCTGCAGGCTCCTTTGCCTTTGCTATGGGGATCCCTGCTTCTGAGCAGACACTCCAAACCTTGGTCAGTACAGAGACCTTTTCTTCCAGGAGCATTGTGTGTTCAGAGGGAACTGTCTATGGTTGGAAGGTTGGGCTCATCTAGCTGTATACCCACCCAGTTCTCATTGTCCCCACCTGTTTGCTGAGGGGAGGGGGGATGGACACATAGCATGGTATTCACTATGTGTGAGCCCAAGGTTCTCAAAATGCAATCTGGGGCCTGGGGAACCCTGAGAGCATTTTAGGGGTCACAAGGTTCATATTTCACTTTGTCTCAGGGGCACACAGTGGAGCTTTCCAGAGCTACAGTATGATAAACGGCAACCTGAGTGCAATGGAAGATGTGAGAACCCGGCTGCCTTCTGTGGAGCTAGACATTGGAGATCTGCAAAAATGGTACAAGGGCTACCTTCTCTATCATTATTTGTTTTGAAAAGAGCTGTTTTTCACAAAACATGTTAACATGAAATGTGTTTATACTGTCTTAAAAAATGAATTGATAAATACATGTTTAAACTTTTTTAATCTCTAAGTTAATTTTTAGATTTAAAATCTAATTTAATTTCTAATGGTATATAGTGATGTATATAATGCACATGACCAAAAGCTGTCTTGGATTCTCAATAATACAAAAGTGTGAAGGACCCTGAGACCAAACAGCTGTCAGAGGAGTATTCTGACCAGGGAAGTAAGTGACATTCAAAAATATCTGAAATCTAACTCTACGGAAACTTTAGGGATCAGCCAAACTAAATTTAAGGCATTTGTTATTTTGGTTGTAAAGACACAATCCTTGCTAGTGTCTCCTGACCCCATAGTTTAATATGAGTGATGCTGATAAATGGAGCTTGCCTGCTTTGCTCTGAGAACCAGAAGGAAATGACTGAATTGGAAGAAAACTCTTTATAAACTCTGGGAGGGTCTGTACTCATCATGCAACACACACACTCTGTCCTGGCAGCTGCAAGACGCTGTTGCTCACTAGAGAGGGACAGCCCCAGAGCCCAGTTCTGTTAGCAAGGGTGGAGGTACCTGTGCTGCACAGCGGAGAAGGTGGTCATCAGTAGTCAAGGCCAACAGGTACTCCTGCAGCAAGCCGAGCTCCTGTGGGGAAAGCACCAGCTCTGTGAACAATGGACATTGCTGAGCCAAGGGGAAACCCCAAAGGGGTAAGCATGGCTCAACCACCAGGCACTCATGAACTCACTCACACTACAGGCATGACTGGAGGAGTTGGGGGCCTGGTTCCAAGGCTGGTCCTGTCCTGATCAACTCACAGGGTGACCAGGCAGGACACCCCCTCCTCAGGTCAATCTTCTCAGGTCTGACTGGGGGATAAACTAAAGACCTATGAAAGGTCTTTCATCTCGTCCATTCAACGAGTCTGTTGTGCTGAGGGGAAGAAAAAGAGGAAGAAGAGGAACCCAACAGTTTGATTTTTCAAAGCTCCCTGTCATCAAGAGCTGATCCAAAGCATTTTGGCTTTAGGCCTGACAAAACAAGCAATCTGGGACTGACCTGAGGACTTCCCAGGGCTGGAGAGACAGAAGGCCAGCCTGCCCTCCCCCTGTAGGCCTGCCCAAACACACAAGACTGTGACCCAAGTCCTGCCTTGGCCAGCAGGGGGCAAAAGCACACAAAGGCACCATCCTTAAGGTGAGAGGAAGACAGAGCCCTCACCTGGGCGCGGTTCTCAGTGACGAAGAAGAGCTCGGTGAGGGCACGGTGCAGTGGGAGGAGAATGCCAGGTTGTGTCACGTCCTCAAATAGGCTGTACTCCATGTGGGTAAAGAGTTGCCACAGTGGCTTCAACAGTGCCAGGTCACAGAGGTCACTGGGGAGGAGCCCAGGATGAGGTTGGTTTATTAAGGACCAGACCAGATACCCTGGACAGCTGGTAGCAATTGTAGCTCCCACCTTCCCTCTCCCACCTCTAGTATAGCCATCATAAAACAGCCCATCCATCTTTCCCCAAAATAGCCACACTTAGTCACCAACATTAAAGAAAGAAAGGGGCAGAGCCTAAACTTCAAAACCCACTTTAAGGAATCTGAAGGACCTGAAGAAGTTCACAGGAATTACTATGTGCCTTTAAAGCTGGTTGTTATAAGGACCTTCTAATAATGGTGGGAAACCTCAAGATAAATGGTAAGTGGAATAAAGCAAGAGATAACACTGCACATACAAAATGAAAGTTACAAATGAAAAAGAATGACTTAATAATGACAAAACCATTGTTTTGATGTTCATCTGTAAAACACAGAAAATATGCTTGCAAGGCTACTGGGCCAGAAATTCTTTCCTCAAGAAAAGCCAAGTCTTCCTCAGTTAGACCTTTGTGGAGAGAAGGATTGAGGGTTTGAATCCACAGGGGGCTGCACTGATTCTAGCTCAACTTTCTTCAGAGGAGGAAATTAGGAAATCAATAATATTCTGGGGCTTCTTACATGATTACATATAAAGAGATAGACAGATCTATAATAATTTTGCTTTTTCTCTTTAATTTACTTTTTCTGTTTATAGTGTTGCCTTAGAGCCAAATATTTTTCCGACAGGAAAAAAAAAATCTTCATAAAGTAATGGGAAATTCAGTTTGGTTTAAAGAAACACTTCACAGCTGGTTCTCAGGAAAGCAGTGGAGTGTGAAGTGAAAGGCACCTGGCAGGCCTCCCTTCCCTGGGGCTACCCCGGGGCCTTCAGGCCAGCACATCTTTAACTCACCAAGGAAGATGTGTGGAACAGCCAGCGGTAGCAAAACATGCTGGGAAAGTCCTCCAGGCTCAGGATGGAGGGGTACAGGAGGTTCCTTACTGGAAGTAAGGTTGGCACAGGCCAGAAAACTGCAGTAAGGCACATCGGTGCTGCAAGCAGGAGAGCCCAGCCAGCTAAGTTGCATGTTTTACATACAACACTCAACCAGAGTTTTCACTGGAAGCCTGCCAAGTGATCTTGGTGTCTGTGTATAAGGAATGGTGATAATAACAGCATGCCCAGCTTTCCCTCTCTTCCTCCTTGCCTGAGCCTAGGGACTGGCTTCTTCAGTCACTACTTCTTCCTGACTTGGAAAGCCCTTCATTTTTTAAATAACAGTTCTGTATTACATGAGAAGACTACTTTTTACTTTGAAGATCAACATTTCACTTTTAGTAGCATTCTGTATGTCTATATGCCTTAAAAATGCTGGAAAGAGGAACTCCTAACAGGTGGGGGTATGAGCAAGAAGGGTGAGGCATGCAGAGAGCATGGTTGATGTGTGTAGTACAATCACCAACACGTCCCTTCTGAGATGAGGAACAAGGCAATTATGTCTATAATTCCTACTTCTACTCAGTACTACATTGGAGGTCCTGACTAGTGTGAAAGGCAAAAAATTGCTTCTAAGGATTGAGGGGAAGAGATAAAACTTATTATGTACAGTTGACATGACTGAGTACTGAATAATCTACATATACACTCTTAAAATAAACACATTTAGGAAGGTCACCAGATATAAAGGCAGAAAATAAAAAATACATATATTGCTGGGTGCTGGTGGCTCACACCTGTAATCCTAGCTACTTAGGAGGCAGAGATCAGGTTGGATCACAATATGAAGCCAGCCTAGGCAAATAGTTTGCAAGACCCTATCTCAAAAATACCCAACACACACACACACACAAAAACCAGGGCTTGCGTAGTGGCTCATGCAGTTAAGTGCCTGTCTAGCAAGCATGAGGTCCTGAGTTCAAACCCCAGTGCTGCCAAAAAAAAAAAAAAAGACAATTGAAGAACTAAGCTGAAGGATTTATATAATTAGATGATTACATATCTAGTTATAAAACCAGTTATATAGATCCATTATAAAATCAGTTTGTAAAACTGGATTATGCTACACAAGGACAACCAAAACACTAAAGGACCAAGTGGGATCAGGAACCCAGCACTGCACATATGGATACCGACACTACAAGGTGGTGAGGGAAAAGGTGGTTTATGGAGACAGTGGAGACCCAAAGGAAAAACCTGACTCTGCACTTCATACCAGATGTTAAAATTCATCCCATGTGGATTACAGAATCAAGTATGAAAGGAAAATAGCTAAGCTTCTAGAAGGTAACACAGGAAGTATCTTCATGACCTCCAAAATTACTTAAATAGGCACTAACATACAGAAAATTATGAAGAACTAGAAAATACTGAAATTATAGCTGTCTTTAATCAGACACCATTAACAGAGTGAATAGGAAACCACTGGGAGACATCTGACACAGGATTCACATCCAGGACACAGCCTACCTGTGAGTGCAGCATTGCACGATTCTCAGAAGTAAGTGGATGGCTTTTAGTCGCTGATGACCGGTCTGGCGACAAGCCACGCCCACCAGCCATTCCCAAATTTTGGCCAATGGGAGGTGAGGCACAACCCTTTCTTCTGATAACATCTGCTTCAAAATCTCGAACCCTGGCCAATTCCCCCAAAACAGATATTTTAAAAAACAAAAAACAATTGTGTACATTAAAATTTATATACTTTATAAACTGTTGAAGTTTTAATAAATAGAATGAATTCATTGTGATCATTTAAATTTTGGCTGAAACTAAGCCTTTTGAAAAAACAACACAGGAAAAACATTCTCAGTTCTTCTCTATTGCAAAATGCCCTGGCAGATTCTAAGAGATAAAGCATCTTTTTTTTAGGCCATGACAGATGGTTCTTCTATCTTATCATCAAGTTTACAACTAGCCAACCATGTCATATTCTTGTATTGAAGAGAGTCAGGTGCAGGGTTTGCGGAACACATGTGGAGAACCCGATTTTAACAAAGATTAGTGAAATAATGGCATCTACAGGCACACCTGTCTGGTGGGCAGATCATGCAAACACAAAGGGCAGAGCACATACCTGTCTGGAACCGCCCCAGGTGTCCAGCTGTCACAGTGAATTTGTAGCCCCATTCAGTGTTGCTCATGTCAGAGGTAAATCGGTAATACAGAGTATCGCCTGGGTCACAAAGAATCACAGGCTGATCAGGACACAGGAGCAACAGGATATGGCAGCTGAACTGTTTCTTTTCTTTTTTTTTTTTCTTGGTGGTACTGAAATTTGAGCTCAGGGCTTCCTCCTTCCTACAAAGGTGCTTGCTCTACTGTTTGAGACAGGACTCCAGCCCTTTTTAGTCTAGTTATTTTGGAGATATGGTCTCTTCTTTTGCCCAGGCGGGTCTGGACCACAATTCTCCTATTTTATGCTTCTCATTGTAGCTGGGCTAACAGATACATGTCACCACACCCAGCTTTTTTTCATTGAGATGGGGTCTCACTGGCCTGGAACTGCACACTTCCTGATCTCAGCCTCCTGCATAGCTTGGGATGACAGGTGCTTGTCACTGCACTCAGCTATTAGTTGAGATGAGGTCTTGTAAACTATTTGCCTGGGCTGGCATTGAACCATGATTCTCCTGATCTCAGCCTCCCAAGTAGCTACAATGACAGCTAGCTGAGGTGTTTCCAATAAAATGTATTAAGCTCATTTTAAAATCCCTCGATAATTTCCCTTCTCAATTATGTTTAAACATGTCATGTGAAGAGTCTATTAACTCTATATAACTCTTAATATTTGTTTTATTACCTGGAAGCTCAAAATCTTTCCACTTCTGTTGAGATCCACTGAAGTTGTGTCGATCCTGCTGGAAGTCACTACTGCTAGACATGGCTAATTCATCACAGCCTTCCTCAGTGTTGCACTGAGAATCAAATTTGATTGAGAGGTAGATTGCACCAGGAATGTGGACTTTGTCCTGGGGAGGGGTGACAGAAAGCTTCCATCATTCTCTAGGTTACACACTGAGCTTGAGGACATGAGAATAAGTAAGTCACAGTCCCTCCCTCTAGGAGCTCATTCTAGCTGGGATGTAGAAGACACGCAGACTGTAATATAGTGCAGGGTAGGGCATGGTAGGGCATGGTAGGGCATGGTAGGGCAAGTAGAGAAGGGTCCCAATGCTGGTGGTTCAGGTTTTTGTGAAGAATGAAGAGGATGGAAGAAGCACCTCAGGAGAAAGGGGTTTCTAACCCCTTAGGGGTAGAAGACAGGTCTCTAACCCAGCCTAGACCTACAGGGTGAATTTTAGGAAGAAAATATCTAGCATGTTCAGAGAATGGCAAGGAGTGTGGTGTATCTAGAGTAAAGTGTACTATGTAGGCACACATGCTTGGGAAGGGTGTCAAGGTAAGGAGTGATCCTAGAGAGACTGGCAGGGATGAACAGTCAAGGCCTTGTGCAGGATAATGCAGTTTAGACTGTATGCACAGCAGGGGCGCCCTGTTCTTGTACTGAGGAAGGGTCCCTCTGATAGTTTGTAAGGAGTCCAGCTAGGCCAGAGGCATATATTGAGAAAGGAACAGCAATAGGAGCTCCAGAGAAGGAAAGGACATGCTACAGGTAGCAGGGAACACAAGATGATACTTTTTGGGGTACAATTTGGAGGATGACCAGTCTTGGTGGGGCCAGGGGGGAGGGGACAGAACCCAGGAACTGGGGAGAGAAGAGGCTTAGAAGGAAGATGGGGAGGAGTTCTACACTTTGTTAAACACATCTCAGCTCTGAACTGACTCCTGTCCTCTGTGGCTGTGGTAGGGTGCTTCCATTCTGAAGCTCAGGTACTGCAAGCTCTGACATTTCTAGAGGGCAAAGGAAAGGCACATGGCATCAAGTTGATGAAAGCAACTGAGGACGCCCAACCTTGGCTCAACAAAACTCCTCCATCTCTCTGTCAGATACAAGTTAAGGATGAAAAAGGCTTTGTGGTTCTGGGTAAGTAAAAAGGGCCTGGAGTTTCCTAGGTGTGACCAGGTCATCAGTAGATAGTTAAAAGAGTGAGGCTGAATCTAGACCCACAGGCAGACTCACTGCCAAGAGAGACCAAGGATTTGCTCTCAGCAGCTTGCTGTAGGAAAAGCAAACTCTCCTTTGGGGCCAGTGACCTATTTTTTTCCTACTAAAACAATGAAGGTCAGGAAAAGGGGAGACTTGGTTGCACAGAATCCCTGGGTTCAGGGAGGTGACTGGCAACTAGTGGAAGAAGTGTGTTTCTGGTCAGGGCTGTGGGGGAAGAGCTGCTGAGGGCCATACCTCAAAGCTGGTATTGTTGTTATAAGGGTGCTTGGATTCCCTCACTTGAACTTCCATTCCTGGCTCCTCCATGAATTGGCAGGCAGCCAAGGCCATGGTCCCCAGCATGTTCTCTCGGCAGCCCTGGAGCACCTTCTGCAGAATCTGGCAGGACACAGGTAGGTAAGGGAAGGGCCTGCTAGTGCAGGAAGAAGGGAGGGCTGACCTCAGCCCAGGGCCCACCTGAAGCTGCTGGCATCATTTTGGACCTAGAACAAACCTCTGCAACCTGAACCCACAAACCAATCCCACTAGCCACCTCTTGCTTAACCAGATCCCTGCTCTAAGTCAGGACAATGCAGTGCATTATTCTAAAGAATAATGCTACTTCTAAAAAGAAAAAAAAAAAACCCAAAAGATAGAAACACAACAACAAAAAAGCAAAAATGATGCCACTTCTAGGAGGTCTGAAAAACAGATCAGACATGGGCCTGACCCCTGAAGCTCCTATAGCTGAGGAGGTGGAGGGTCCTGTATATAAATATCATAGCACACAGTGATAAATGGCCAGAGTGAGAAGCTCCCTGGGACAAGAATGGGCTCCAAGATAGGGATTAGTAGGGCACAGTACCTCCCTTTTGCCCCTTGCAGAGGCAGATATGGCTAAGGCACATAGCCAACTCCTCCAAGGCAGTGAGGCTGGCAAAGGGCCTTGGGGACTTACGACACCAGAGTTACTGTTAACTTTACCATGCAATACTGCACAGCAGGGGTTAGAACGCAGAAGGTACCAAAAAATTTCTGTGCCAGGAAACTAGAAAGACAGTGACAAAACTTTCTGGGTCAGTGGGAAAAAGTGTTAGGATGGCTAGATTTTCTGCTTCCAGTTAGCAGAAGGTGGAACACAGGCCTTTAGCCCAGCATTATTTTAAAAGGACAGTTGAAGACTTGATTTAAAAACAAAACAGATGGGTTGGAGGGATGGCTCAAGTGACAGAGTGCCTGCCTAGTAAGCAGGAGGCCCTGAGTTCAAACCCCAGTACTGCCAAAAATAAACAAAAGCCAGAATATGTCCTCTAACTTAAAACTTAAAATCAGATTTTAGAGAATGACACAGATCCTGGTGAAATCCCCTATGACACCCAGAAGCCCAGGAGCCTTGAAAGTGCACCCTGATTCCCAGGTTGGAATGCAACACAGGCGCAGTATAGGCAGAAGGTCTGACCTGGGTAGACATCCTAGAAATGATGTTTTAAAGCAGAAGGCAAAAACCTCACTGAAAGCCTTCTTGTATTATAGGGACAGGCTACCATAGAGTCCTAATTAACCCTGTCACCTGGACTTTGTGTTATGTGAGACTCCAGGGAGCTAGGAGAGTTTGTGAGGCTACAGGTGTGAAAGGCAGGTTTCATGGACCACTGATACAAATGTTCCCTGAGCTTAGCTCCAACCCAATCTTCAGGAGAGTCAACAGTGGCGCACCTTTGTTGCATTCATACCTGTCAGGGAGCTGCACAGCCATAACCTGTTCAAACATTCCAGAGGCCACAAAGACAGGGAGAAGGGGCAGAAGGGTTGACTGCAGAGCTTGGTCTGCTTAGCTACCTTTTCCCATTGGTGCTTTTCTTCCAGCTGCATGAACATATCCAAGATGTAGGTCATATGGGCAGGGCCACTTAGCTCCAGGATGTCCTCACTCACTGGCACATTCCTGGGCCACTCTGCGAGCAGGGAGGCAAGCACGTGGCGGGCATACAGGACAGCTGTGGCTTCATTTACGCGGAATAGGTAGTCCCGGACAGCTCTCTTACTCTTGCAGTTCAGCTCCTTATGTAGGAGGGCAGCGCTCTTGCTCCGGCGCTGTTTGGCATAGCTCTGCTGAAGCTCACTCTCAGTGCTGGAGATCAACTTCTGGGTCACAGGGTTCAATTCAGCAATGGCTTGCTCACAGCGTGCAGGCTGAGACTGCAAAGCAAGACCATTTTTATAGACGCCTGTCCTTCTCACAGCAGGGGTAGGAGTTGCAGACACTTTATCCCAAGATGGGTGACATACCAAGCATGGCAAGATGATCATATCTGTGTCCACAGCTTTGGCACTCTGCTCCTCCAGTCTCAGACTCCTACTGGGCTGCCACCTCTGTGCCAGGGAGCGAATCCTCTCATCCGTGGTGAGCTCATCTCCATCAAACCTGAAGGGAGGGAGTACAGCATAGAAAGCAGAGGAAGACAAGAGTTTAACCTGCAATTAAACTTGTCAGAAATGTTACCATAGCTACATTTTGTTATTACTCAGTGACGTCATCACTTGCGGTATTATGCAAACTAGAGTCACAGCACTCATTCATTCATGCATGCAGATACCTAGATATTAAGGCAGAGGATGTCAACTGTCTCCCAGGGTCTACTCTTCCTTCTGTCTTAAAAACAAGGTTCCCTGCAGTTCTAACAGAAGATACCATTGCCTAGCTAGAGACATGGTTCCCAGCCTCCTTAGCAGCTTGATGTAGTGGTTCTTGCCAGTGGGAGGTGAGGGAGATGGTGTTTCACTTCCAGAGCCATCTCTACTCTACCTTCCATCTTTCCTCTGGTCTGGAACCCACAGGAGGTAAAGGTGAGCTAGCTGAGATGAGATCACCACCCTTGGGATCAACTACTTCGTTACTTTGTGGAGCAGAGCTGCCTACCCACTGTGGATGGACTGTTGCTTGCCTGGGTTGTCACGTGAGAGGACAATAAATTCTATGTGCCTCTGTCCATGATATTTCTGCATCTAAAGTTCTCTCACCTCTTTTGAACCTCTAGGAAGAAAGAATCGGTCTTTTTCATCTGCAGTTCATATATGGCTCGGAGAATGTGCAAAGGGGCATTGAGGGCATCGTGAGCCATCTGAAGGCATGGGAGGAAGCAAAAGAGAAACAATTAGAAGTGCCTCCACACATTATTGATCATCCAAATTCAAAAGTGATAAAACAAAATTTCAAGTTACCACAGGCCGCTGAAGAACATCATATGGTACTTTTAAAAAGCTTATCAAATTATAAGTACAAAGACATGAACTGCAAAATCTTCACTACTACTTCCTGGATGCCAGCACCTGGCAAGCAGGCCCCAAAACTACCGCTGCCTACAGGCTTAGATCCCCCATGCCTGAAGCAGCTGCCATGACTCCTGGTAGCCTGGCGCCAACACCTGGCAAGCAGGCCCTAGTACTCTCACTGCCTGCAGACTTGGATCCTCCATGGCTGCAGCAGTTGCTGTGGCTCCTGGTAGCCTGATGCAGGCACCTGGTAAGCAGACCCCAGAATTCCCGCTGCCTGCAAGTAGCTGCCATGCCTCCTGGTAAGCCGTGCCAGCAAGCAGACCTCAGGGCTCCCCCTACCTGAAGGCTTGACTCCCCCATGCCTGCAGCACTACTGTACTACCCTTCTGGAGCCCATCCCCAGCAAGCAGGCCCCAGAACTCCCGCTGGCCAAAGGCTTGGTTCCCCCTGAGCCTGCAGCAGCTGCCGTGGGTCCTGGTAGCCTGTACCAGCAGTTTCCAGGGCTCCTGCTGCCTGCAGGCTTGGGTCCCCTGTGCATGCAGCAGCTGCTGTGGCTCCTGGCAGCCCATGCCAGCAAGTAGGCCCCAGGGCTCCTGCTGCCCACAGGCTTTGTTCTCCCATGACAGATAAAGCTCTTGTGGCTCCTGGAAGCCGGCACCTGGCAAGCAGGCCCCAGGGTTCCTGCTGCCCAAAGGATTGGCTCCCCGTGCCTGCAGCAGCTGCCGTGGCTCCTGGAAGCCCATGCCCCAACACAAGTAGATCCCAGGGTCTCTACTGCATTGTGGGCACCAGATGATTCAAGCCTGGCAGCTTTGCTGCCCCATGGGCACCCTCAACTTGCTACTCAGAGCCAGGAGCCTGCTGCAACACACACAAGTGAACCCCAGGCTCCACACTTTGCTATTCTGCTAGTGCCAGGAGGCTTCCCTCCCCACAGAGCCCAGAGGCCTATTGCTAACCACCAAGCCCTCCCATGGGAGAGCCCCTGCTGCCCCGTCAAAGAGTGGGAATCCAGCTCTTTCACTGAGTGGTAATCCACCATTTTGTGGGTGCCAGGAGACCTGCTTCCTTAAGGCACAAAAATGGCCAGTGCTTTCCACTAAGCCTGACCATGGGAGAACCCATGCTTCTCTGTTAAAAACCAAAAACGCTAGATTTCCTACTGAGGGGAGTGGCACCAGAAGGCCTGCCTCCTGAGGTACACAGAGATCCAGTGCTCCTCACTGTGCCTGACAGCTGGAGAGTCCCCACCTCCCTGCAGGACAGTACCATCTTTCTTGTCCAAGAGCTGGAATCCCAGCTCCTCCACTGAGAGGCAATCTACTACTCTGCAGGTGCTAGGAAGCCTGCTCCCTACAGTGCACAGAGACTCACTCAGCACTCCCCACTGTTACTACAGGAGAGTCCCTGTACCCCCATCAAAGAGTGGGAACTCCAGCCCCCTCAATGACAGGAAAAAAAGAGGTAATCTACACCACAAGAAGAACCCTGCAAGGGGTAACATTTCCAGCTTACCCCTCTCTGAGGAAAACTGCTGGAGCTCCAGGAGAAAAAACCCTCAAAATCCCAACTATAGGGGCACAAGAGATTAAAACCCTAACCCAAAACAACTCCAGATTGCATAAATCTCAATGCAGAATGAAAGAACAAGACAACGGCTCTCCTTCAAAAGCCAATTCCACCACTAAGGATCTAAATACCTGCATACAGGAAGAGATATCAAGTAATGAATTCCAAGACACAATAATAAATTAATGACCTCCAACAAGAAGCACAAAAAGCTAGTGTTTGACCTCAAAGAAGATGTCAATAAACAATTAAATGGGCTCAAAGAGAATAATACAAACAAACAGATGAATGAAATTAAGATGACTATCCAGGACATGAAAGAGGAAATCAATAAAGATATGGAAACCCTGAAAAATAATCAATCTGAAATAAACAACTCAATATCCAAAATAAAAATCTCAATTGAAATCTTGGCGAGCAGAGTGGAGCAAGTTGAAAATAGAGTATCAGGAACAGAAAATAAAGTAGAGGAATTAGACCAAACAGTAAAAGATTATGAAAGAATGCTAAGAAAATATGAATGGAACATGCAAGATATCTGGGACACCATGAAAAGACCAAACCTACAAATCATGGGTGTAGAAGAAAGAGAGGAGATACAAACTAAAGGCATTGACAACCTATTTAATAGAATAATAGCAGAAAACTTCCCTAATCTTGAGAAAGAGAATCACCAAGGTGCAGGAAACTTACAGAACACCAAACTGTCAGGATCAAAAAAGAAACACCCCCAGACACATCATAATCAGAACACTCAGCACACACAACAAAAAAAAAGAATTCGGAAAGCTACAAAAGAAAAAAGGTCACATACAAAAGCAAACCCATTAGAATAACCGCAGATTTCTCAACTCAAATTCTAAATGCAAGAAGGTCATGGAAAGACATAATTGAGGCCCTGAAAGAAAGCAACTGTCAACCTAAACTAGTCTATCAAGCAAAACTATACTTCCTAATTGAAGGAGAAATTAAAACCTTCCACAACAAGGAAAAACTAAAGGAATTTGTGACCACCAAGCCAGTACTACAGAAGATACTTAAAGGACTTTTACATATAGAAGAAGACACTAGAGTCAAACAGGAAGACTCAAGAAAGAATAAACCCTCTTGAGCAAGCAGACCAGTAAATAAGGACTAGGTAAAACTAAACAACAGGGGAATAAAAATGGCTGGAAACAACAGGCACCTCTCAACATTAACACTGAATGGAAATTGCCTCAGTGCCCCAATCAAAAGACATAGAGTAGCAAATTGGGTTAAAAAACAAGACCCAACCATACGTTGCTTACAAGGTATGCATCTCACTGAAAAAAATAAACACTGGCTTAGAGTCAAAGGGTGGAAAAATATTTCCAAGCAAATGGAGCTCATAAATAGGCAGGTATACTCATATCTGATAAAGTAGACTTCAGACTAAAATCAGAAGAGACAATGAAGGTCACCTCATATTAACTAAAGGAACAATTCATCAAGAGGAAATATCAATCCTTAATATATATTCACCAAACACAGGAGCACCCGTCTACATTAAAAAACTCTAATGGCCCTAAGAGCACAGATAGACCCTAACATGCTAATAGTGACCTGAATACCCCACTGTCACCAATAGACAGGACATCCAGGCAAAAGATCAACAAAGAAACTTCAGAGCTATTCCACATATTAGACCAAATAGACATGGTTGGCCAGGCACTGGTGGCTCACGCCTGTAGTCCTAGTAATTCAGGAGGCAGAGATCAGGAGGACTGCAGTTCAAAGCCAGCCTGGGCAAATAGTTTGTGAGACCCATCTTGAAAAAACACATCACACATACACACACACACACACACACACACACACACACACACACACACAAAGACATGGTTGATATCTACAGACTATTTTACCCAACAACCAGGCAATACACATTCTTTTCTGTAGCTCATGAACTTTCTCCAAAATAGATCATATTTTAGGATGCAAAGCAAGTCTCAACAAATTCAAGAAAACTGAAATTACCCCCTGCACTATATCAGATCATAACAGAATAAAACTAGACCTCAACAACAAAAGAAACCATAGAAAATATTCAAACACATGAAGACTGAACAAAAACACTGCTAAAAAAACAATGGGTGACTGAAGAAATAAAGGAAGAAATCAAAAAGTTCCTAGAATGCAATGAAATGAAAATGAAAATACAACCTACCAGAATCTGTGGGACACAGCACAGGGCATGCTAAGGGGAAAGTTTATAGCTATAAGTGCCTACAGTAAAAAAACAGAGACCTCTCAAATAAACAACCTAATGATGCACCTTAAGTTCCTAGAAAAACAAGGACAAACCAAACCCCAAACCAGCAGACAGAGAGAAGTTATAAAGATCAGGGCCATGATCAATGAGATCGAAACCAGAAAAACTATACAAAGAATCAACGAAACAAAAAGTTGGTTCTTTGAAAAGATTAACAAAATTGACAAACCCTTAGACAACATGACAAAATGGAGGAGGGAAAAGACCCAAATTAATAAAATCAGAGATAAAAAAGAGGACATAATCACAAATACTAATGAAATCCAGAGACTCATTAGAGAGTACTTTGAAAACTTACATTCAAGTAAACTGGAAAACTTAAATGAAATGTATAAATTCCTAGATTCTTATAACCAACCAAAATTGAACTAAGAAGATATTAACTACCTAAATGGTCCTACCACACACAATGAAATTGAAGCAGTAATAAAGAGTTACCCTACAAAGAAGATCTCAGGACCTGACAGATTCATGGTCAAATTTTACCAAACCTTTAAAGAAGAACTAACACCAATACTCCTCAAACTTTTCCAGGAAATAGCAAGGGAAGGAACATTTTCCAAACTCATTCTATGAAGCCAGCATTATAATCACTCCAAAACCCAATAAAGACATAGCCAGAAAAAAGAATTATATCTTTAGATATAGATTAAGATAAAGACATAAAGAATATCTTTCATAAAGAATATAGATGTAAAAATTCTCAACAAAATAGTGGCAAACAGAATTCAACAACACATCAAAAAGATCATACACCATGACCAAGTTTGTTTCATTCCAGGGATGCAAGGATGGTTCAACATTATAAATCCATAAACATACAGCATATAAACAGAAGCAAAGACAAAAACCACATGATCTTCTCAATAGATGCAGAAAAAGCCTTTGACAAAATCTAACATACTTTCATGATAAAAGCTCTAAAGAAACTAGGAATAGAAGGAATGTTCCTCAACATAATAAAGGTTATATATATGACAAACCTAGAGCCAACATCATACTAAATGGAGAACAACTGAAACCATTCCCATTAAAGTCAGGAACAAGACAGGGCTGTCTGCTTTCTCCACTCTTATTCAATATAGCTTTGGAATTCCTAGCCAGAGCAATAAGACAAGAGCAAGAAATAAAAGGGATCCAAATAGGGAAGGAAGAAGTCAAACTATTCCTATTTGTAGATGACATGATCCTATACCTAAAAGACCCCCAAAACTCTACCAAAAGCTATTAAAAATCATAAACTCTTTCAGCAAAGGAGCAGGATATAAAATTAACATATAGAAATTTTCTATATACCAATAATGAACAGACTGAGAAAGAAATCAGGGAATCAGTCCCATTTGCAATAGTCTCAAAAACAATAAAGTATCTTGGAATAAATAGCCTCCCAGGTAGCAAGGATTCCAGGGGTGACCCACTAGCACCCAGCCAAACAGTTTGCTGCATGGCTGGGCTGAAGAGAACCCATTCCTCTGAAGCCCATGCTCCATCCTGATAATGACTAGAGAACATACCAGGAAGCATATTCTGGTGGGCTCATCCAGACCTTCCAGAGGGTCTAGCTTTTTTTGCTCCACTTCCCCTGGGTTGCTGACTGATCGGTCCACCTCTTCCTCTTGTTCTCCTCGCTCATCCAGCTCAAGGTCTCCATGCTCGGCCAGAGTGTTGATCTCCTTTTTTGAGGAGTACAGCATGATGGACAGAATCTACAAAGAGAGGAAATCAGAAAGGGCAGAGAGGTGAGAAGACACAAGTTTTTAACCACATAAAGGTAGAAAATATTTAATCTACCTTTTTTTCCTTTTATTTATTTTTTATCATCATATTATTTCTATACTGAGGGTATACTGTAACCTATCTTTTTAAAGGCATTGGAATTCACATAAAGAATGTAAAATTAGTGAAGAAATGTGAAAACATGTTTACTCATCCTTGTAATTAAAGAAATGCTAATAAGAACTATGGGGGTCTTATGTTTATTAGCTTTTCTTGATAGCATACACTGTTATCCTTTTTGAACTTGTTTTGGCGAAATGTAAAGAACTATAAGAATGTTTATATCCTTTGTCTCAGTAACTCATCTTTTAGGAATAATGTAAAATACACAAAAAATTTTATTCAAGATACTGGTAATGAAGCATTAGTAAAGCAGACACCAAAAATGGAGTTTATCAAAACTACTGAGAAAAATGCCTACTATAGGACCTCAATTTATTTGAATACTATGTTAATTATGCAATATAAATTTATATATGTACTACAGAGGTATAGGAAAAAAATTAGAAGAAAATACATAAAATGCTAATGGTTGCTATGTTTGGGGGTGAAATCTAGAATTTTTCTTTGTTTTTGATATTTTCTGTAATGTGGTTATATTATTTAAATGATAAAAACTATTTTTTGTGATATTAAGGATTGAGCTCAGGTCTTTAAGCACTTTACAACTTAAGCTATGCCCCCAATTCAAAATATTCTAATTTAAAATATTCTCTAAGACTCAACTGTTCACATGCTCTCTTGGCTACCCATTAATATGTTTTAGCATATTTCTCTAAAGCCAAGTAAATCCTCCTGCTGTATTCAGAGCTGTTTAAGTTCAGAATGCTGTTGGACCATGGTGGTGGGTGCAGCCCAGCCCCTGCAGCAGTGGCCTCCCTTGAACTATAAGCAGGCACTTGGCCTGGGAAGTCCATGGGAACTGCAGGCACTCCACTAAGAAAAATGTAAGGTCTCAGGGGAATAGCAATAAAATTAAATTATAAACTGAAATCATACATAAAATAAACATAAGTGAGGACAAATTTAGAAACTGATTTTACCTCAAAAGAACTTTAAAGGGAAATAATAATTCAAGGGCACATTTTATTACCATGATATAATGGTCAATTATATATTTCCATAAAATACTTCTCAAATGTTCTTTGAACAAACAACCAATTCTTTTTCCCTGATGGGAGAGGACAGGTGTTAGAGTCCCTAATTCCAAAAAAGAAGACAGAAGCAAGGCACAGTTTAAAAGCTAAGCAGAATGAGAGTGCGCAGGGCAGAAACGGCTGGAAGGAGCTATGCTTCAAGGTCCTGAGCCAGTAGACCTGCACCAGGTAGCAGTGGAAGGAGCTGCCCTGGTCCTTACCTCCAGGTCCCTGAGGAGCCACGTCTTGCTGAAGCCAGTCCCTTTGCTACACTTTTTTACCAACAGCTTTAGCAGATCAATCTGTAGGAAGCTTGCATGGGTCTCTTCAAAACCATGAGCCTGGCAAACAGAAAGAGTGATTTGCAACTGCCTGAGTTGGAGAGAAGCAAAACTTTCTCAGAGCCCAGTCTCAGCTGGTGGACCAAGCTGATCTTCCAGTGAAGATTCCAGAGTCAGTAGGAAGAATGCAGCTCTGAATCTTAATCATAATCTGCTAGCAGCTCATTCACTCCAATTCATTCAACAAACATGTTTGAGACCTACTTTCTGTCACTCCTCTGCTCTCTACCTTCCAAAAGCTTCCCAATAGCCTAGAAGCTAACACCGAAGCCCCTGACCATGGCTGCCAAGGTCCTACAAGGCTCCCTGCCCTGCTTCTGCTGCACTATCCTGAAGCCCTGTAGGCTTCCTTTCTGTGCTGTGAGAATCATGCCCACTCCACTTCAAGGCCTGGAGCTTGTTACTCTGACTCTTTATCACCTCAGATTTAACCATTTCAGAAAGGTTTTTTTCAGTCTCATTGCAGTCTTCCTTGCAGGCACCCTGCTGCATCTCTGGCCAGTGAGACTGTAAGCTCCATGAGAGCAAGGACCTTCTTTCTAGTTCACCACTGCATACTCAGTTCCATTTGGCTCAACAAATATTTACTGAACAAATATTTACCTCTGCCCTCAGGGATCTCCCCCTTCCTACTGCAATGTCAGCAACAAAACAAATTGCACATTGTGTCAAATGCCATGAACTAAACAAACTAAAGATGAGCAGTCTCAATCCTACAACTACAGACTCTCAGAGCTGGAAAGCCACTTAGGTCATTCTCCTGTAGTGCCTCAGTGTTGCTCCACCCCATTCTGCCATGACCTCCCCACCAGTGCTGCCACTGAACACTTCTCAAAATAAGGAACATAAAATTTCAGCTGATCTCCTTTTTTTGTGGGTCAGCTCTGTTGAGAAGATGATCACAGGTAAGCTGAAATGATCTTTTTAAAAGATCCTCCCTATCCACTGACCCCAACCTCCATGTACAGGAAGAAATCCTCATAAATCAGGGCTTTTCCTTTCCACACCAAATATTGCTCAGCTTTTCAACTTGTCTGCTTCCTCCCAGCCCAAGGAGTTTGCATGGAATGCCAGCCCTTTATTCTTCCTTCCTCTTTGTATGATGTGCCAGAGGAGTTGCCATTCAGAGAGACGGGAGGGAGGACCTTTTCCATTCATTTTTCTCCTCACCTGTCAAGGTTATGTCTTCATGAAGTCATAGTTCTGAGCCCATGAAACAGTATTGAAAAATAGAGAGCAAAACTATTAAAGTTACCCTTGTACAAGAACCCAACCATTCTAAAAATAACCAAGAGCCTACGGCTAACCATTTATCAAAATCACTCCTTGGTTAATACTTGGTAGCTGTCCAATCACCACCAGGTTTATTACCAAATGGAAAAGGCTTACCATTACCTTTAGGGTTTTATATAAACCTTTGAGGGCCAGGGACAGAACCCAGGTTGCTTCCACTGCTTCAGGACAATGGCTGTCCATGCTGGTTTGAAGAAGGTGACTAGCGATAAAGGCAAAGTGCTGGGAGTATTGGCTCAGCTGGGCATGAGAGTTACTGTGTTCTTGTCTTCTTCCCTTCTGGACCAGCTGGTAGTCCTTCACTAAAGGGGGATGTCAGACAGAAAGAGAATGGCACAAAAAGTACCATTATGCCTCCTATAGCCAAGTTTTTTCTACAGTGGTATTCCTTATTAAAGTAAAGATCTGCAGAAACACAAATCTCTCAAGCTCAGTCATAACCCATTTAAGGCCAGCTTGCAGATAAGCATGAAAATAGTATTGGGCCATCTCTCCACAAAGCAAGTGAGAGTGATAATTCACTTTCCTACTACTGTGCACAAGTGAGTCATCTCCAAAAGTGTTAACAGAAGTTCTTAAAAATAGCACACAAGACTTCCACCTCCAAAAAAAGAGGGAGTAAGGGGCTGACTCACTCTCCCACCTTGAGCAACTAGGACCTGGAAAAAATATGTGAAATAATGATTTTCAGAATCTGGGCATTAAGCAGTGCAGAAGTATGATCTCTGGGAAAAAGGACATAAACTAGGTCAGCACTTCCCTAGCACCAGAAATTTGGAGATAATTTCTAGGCTGGAGAGCAAAAAGCACAAAACTAACTAGAAGGTCAGATGCCAGTGGCTCATGCCTGTAATCCTAGCTATTCAGGGGGCAGAGGTCAGGAGGATCATAGTTCAAAGCCAGCGGGGGCAAATAACTCATGAGACTTTATCTCAAAAAAACCTATCACAAAAAAGGGCTGGTGAAGTGGCTCAAAGTGTAGACCCTGAATTCAAACCCCAGTACTGCAAAATAAATAAATAAAATAAAATAAAAAAGAAAGAAAAGAAATCCAAGCAAAGTCCAGAAGTGTCAATGAATTGAGAAGAGGGAGATAAGAGTTCAGAGAAATCAGGCCAGCTAGAATTTATGGAGCAGAATAGCATCAAAAGGAAGATGCACAGAGAGAAAGGAGGGTGAGAGAATGCTCTTCAGAGATCCATGGAGGGCTCCATGTGAGTCTTTGGCTGAATACTGGTCTGTACATATGCGAGAGGCAACTATCTAAAAACAGTAGGCAGAACAATTCCTGGAGGTCACATAAACTGGGACATTCTGTCTTCCCACCAAAGAGAATTAAGTATTCTGGTGGGGTAGGGGGAGGGGCAGCACAGAAAATGTATTTGAAGACATAATGGTTGAAATTTCCCCAAATTTAATAGAACTACAAACCCAATGAGCTCAATAAATCCCTAAGCAAAAGAAACATTAAAAAAAATCATGCTAAGACATATCATAATTACTGCTAACTAGAAAGATCTTAAAAGTAGCCAGAGAAAAGACAACATGAGGAGTGACAAAGATAAGAATGGCAGCAGGAACTGGAGGTCTGGCTCAGGAAAAGAGCACCTGCCTAGCAAATGCAAAGCCCTGAGTTCAAACCCTACCTTCTCCCTCCCTCCCAAAAAAGAATGACAGCAGACCTCATGCCAGAATCTGTATCAATCAGAAGACAATGGACAAGCATCTTTCAAATATTTAAAGAAAAGATTCTTAGTCTAGCATTTTTTACCCAGCAAAATCATATTTCAAAGATGAGTATGAAACACTCCAGACAAATGGAGATTTTGTAGTAGTAGACCTACACCACAAGAAAAGCAAAGGAAAGTTTTTCAGACCAAATAAACTTGAATCTACAAAAATGAACAGCCAAGAAATAGTAAGTAAGTAGCTAAATAAAACACAGCCATTTCCATTTAAAAGTCTCTTAAAATATCCGACATTTATCTATCTATCTATCTATTTGGCGGTACTGGGGTTTGAACTCAGGTCTTCATGATTGCTACCATAATATATATAGAAAGCATGGTCTACTACTTGAGCCACTCTGCCTGCTTTTTTTCTGTTGGGTATTTTCAATTTTTTTCTGTTGGGTCTTGCAAACTATTTACCAGGGATCCTCCTAATCTGTGCCTCCTGAGTAGTTAGGATTACTGGAGTGAGCCATTGGTGCCTGATTTATCTGATATTTTAAAATAAAAATAATGTATTGTAAGATTTATATTATGTAGGATAAAATGCGTAACACAAAGCATGGGGGTAATGCTGGGCGCCGGTAGTGCTGGTTCACTCCTGTAATCTTAGTTACTTGGGAGGCTAAGATCGAGAAGATCGTGGTTTGAGGCCAGCCTGGACAAATAGTTTTCAAGATCCCATGTCCAAAAAAACTAGAGCAAAATTAACTGGAGGCATGGTTCAAGTGGTACAATGTCTACTTTGTAAGCACGAAGCTCTGAATTCAAACCCAGTCCTACACCCCCCCACAAAAAAAATGGGGCAGAGAATGGAAATAAATGTCACAGTATTTCTATGCTGTCATAAAATTTTATAGTATTTCTTTCTTGAACATTTCATTATATTTTCATGTTATTCAGGTCATCTATCCCAGCCTATTAAAGGTGCCAAGATAATTCAATGGAAAAAGGACAGTCCTCTCAACAAATAGTCTTGCAAAAATTGCATGCTCATGTGCAAAAGAATAAAAAAGACACAGAAACAATACAGATGTTGTCTAATGCTAAACCTGAAGAGAAAGCAGATTACTTCAGGAGAACGGCAAACATAATAATCATCCCATGTTGTTTGGGCTTTGGCTAACTTAGTTAAGAAGGCATTTAAGATGAAATACTTTCAGTGTTTTATTGAAGCAAAATAGAAAGTTAAAGTAATGCCAATTCAATTATCCTAAGTGTAACCTCCTGACTCCATGTTTAAATTACCCATAAGAAAATAAATGATACCTACAAATGGAGAAATTATACACAATAACAGCATGGAAAGGGTCCTTAAGAATTATCCCAATTCAACTACGCTATTTCAGAGATGAAGAAAAAGCATCTCACGAATCTATACACTTGCTTAAAAAAAAAAAATCACATGTGGGGCAAGACCCAAGGTTTTCTCCATCAATCTTAGAGTAAGCAGGAATTAGACAATTTTCTTCCATTCTTAGAGAAAATAATTATGCTTCGGACCTGTTTTCCTTTTCCGAGTTTTGACATCAACAATTACAGCCCTGTTCTTCTCAGTAAAGTGCTTCAAGATGATCACGTTATGGGGCTCATTGGCATTGTCCACATAAACACAGCAGGTTCCCACACAGAGGACCTAGACCATGACAGAGACAGAAAAGGCAACTCAATAGCACACTGAGACAGGGAGCATCACCTAATTAGGTACAAGTTCAGTCCCTTTTGCTGACTTCAACAAACACTCGAGCACTGTGTCTTCTCATCTCTAAGTGGCACAGGCCTGGACAGAATTGGTTTATGTCCTTGCTGAATGATACCATGTTCTTATAGCCTCCTTTGTCCCAATCAGATGAGAAACATTAAGATGAGAAAACAGTTCAAGATGAATGCAAAGTGAAAGACAATTGTTTTTTGAAGTTCTTTACAATTTAATACATTATAGTTACTCATTATTCAAAATCAACTACCAGCTAGTTAAAATGAATCAAATGGTTAAAATGATAAAAATGGAAGTAGAGCAAAGTGCCCCAAATAATCTTGAAAAACTATCAAAAAAATACTGATGCTATGAAAACTTATTATACATTTGAAGAAAAAAATCTTCAAATATATGTACATATGTGTGTGTGTGAGTGTGTGTGTGTGTGTGTGTGTGTGTGTGTGTGTGTGTGTGTGTGTGTGTGTGTATGGGATAGAGACTTGGATGTGTATGGTGGAAGAAGTAGTGATCAGGCCTTAAATGCTATACCTGGGGGAAGCCGACCAGCACCAGCAGGGTGAAGATGTTGGTGTGCTTCAGCTGGAAAGGCAGCTGCTTAATGCAGTAGTCTGTGAAGGTGGCAATGACATCTCGCCACAGTGGGGCACTGTTGAGTGACCGCAGGATCTCTGCCATGGAACATGCCCAATCCAAGCCCACACGGCTAAAAGGAAAGAGGTGGGTTAGATGGAATTGCACAAGGCTCCAAACCCAAGTCATCAGAGCTTACTACACTCCAAGGCAGACCTAGCCTTTCATTAGCTATCTTAAAAACTACTAGAATGAGAGGCATATATAAACAGTGTATTATTTGACTGGCAGCATAGCTCAAGTGGTAGAGTACCTGCCTCGCAAGTGTGAGGCCGAGTTCAACTGCCCCCATCCCAAAAGAGCTACCAGAATGATGCTTTTCATATAAAGTGAAAAAAATCAAGATCTTTTAATTTATATATTCAGTCTACAACTATGTTTTAAAATATAAAGTCATCCACACACGTGTAAACATGCACAGTCACATATACACTTAGAAAAAAATTCAAGCACCAGATCTATTAATATGGCACAATCAGGGTGATTTTTTTCACTTCTGCTTTCCAAATTTGGTATTGTGGTTATGTTACTTTTATAATGAAAACAGATTTTTCATTCCAAGATCTATACTTATTCCTCTCAGAATAAAAACCCCACCAGACTATATATCATTAGAGAATTGAATTGGCAGACAGTGCTGAGGGTCTTAGCTATTTCAGTGTGGACTGACAGCATTGCTAATAAAACCAATTCTATTGTCACAGAAGGATCTCAGACAATAGCACTGAAGCATACTGTAACTCATCAAGTACCAGACCTTTGACCTCAATGAATGCCATGATGGGTAGAGTGGAGGTTTGGTGAATGAGAACCAAGGCTACCTGTCTAAGCACACAGCTCCTAGGCTGAAGAGCAGGTGAGTGGTCTTCCAGCCATCTGGCACAATGGCACTGTCCCCTGTAGCAAACAGGTTGTGTTTGGCTGAGAGGACCTTGATCACTGCGGCATCTACCTCTGCAGGTAAAAGACGGATGATTAACTGGCCAAGAAGACCCAGGGTGAGGTGGTAGGTTTCATTCAGGTGGCCTGCGTTGGAGATGACAACCTGAAACATGAGTGGGAGGACGTGCTCCAGGTCTATCAGGGGGACTGTGGGACCCTGCCAAGAAAGAGGAAAAATGTCTTCAGTATAAAAACCCAAGCAGGGGATGGAGACTTAGCTCAATGCTAGAGTGCTTGCCTAGCATGTTCAAGTCCCTGGGTTCAATCCCCAGAACCATCAATCAATCAATACATACACACCACAAACTATACTGAAAAAAGCCCACAAAAACAAAATCCAAGCAACCACACCATCTAAACACTCCATCTCCTTTGTGTTCTTTTTACAACTGGCCTGGTGCCCACAGAATTATGCAATGGCTTTCATAAGTGGCATATGTGCAATATATTGTAATACATATGTACATATATATATATGTGTATATATATATATATATATATATATATATATATATATACACTGATCTTTAGTCCTACTCTTACTTATTACTTTACCGTAAAAAAATAGCAGCTAAGAGTTTGATGGACAGTCTTTCAGCCTTTCTTTCTGTACCTTTATATGTAATACATGTAAGATAAATGAAAGGTTTTAAATAATTATTTTTCCTTCTTTAAATAATGTCCTTCAATGACTTTGTTTCTAATTCATTATTACAAAAACCACTTACATAAACAATCTAGTACATACATTTCTACATACTTAAGCCACTTGCTATTTTCCATAGGGAAAGAAATACACAGAACTGGAGAAAACACAGAAATTGTAAGGTTTTATTCTCAATGAGACTCAAGCAAGCACGACATCCATAATGTGAAAACACAGCAACTGAAGAATAAAAAACTTTCAGAAATAAGAAACAAGTCTCAGGATAGTATCCCCTTGAAGGGGTGTTAAGAGTCCGAGAAGAATGAGGAATGCATCCAGGCAGGGGCTGGTGTAGTGTGGGGCTACAGGCTGTCAGAACCCAAGCTGGAGGAGGAGTCTCTGTGGCAGGGTTGTCAGAGCACACCCAGCAGTGTCTAAGCTTGAGAGGCAGAGCTGATTCTGGAAGGGCAGCTGGGGGGAGTATCAGAGCCCACATGGATAGGTGAGGAGCCACATGGAGAGTTCGGCCTGGCATGGTGAAACAGAGTTCATATAGCATAAGGAGAGTGTGGCCATTGACTAGTAGCCTGCTATGGTAAGGTAGCCTCAATGCAAGGGGGATAGACCCAGGTATCAGGAAAGGTTCACTGTAAGGTGTCAAGAGTCCAAACAGGGAAAAGAGGATATACTTGAAAGAAGAATGATGACTGAGAGGGATCAATTAAGTAATTATACCAAGGATAAGAGCATCCAGGATCTCACTGTTGAGGGAAGGAGTTAGAGATATAAAAAAGGAGAAAACTAGAATGTACCTTGTGGTTTTAGTTGGGAATTACAGGGATTGGTATGAATTCATGATTCATGATTCATTCTCTCTACATGTTTATATCAAGAGGGAACACACTGATTTTCTTGTCAGACACATGCCTCTGTGAACTGTGACTGATTTATAAATCAGTTTCAACTCCTACGCAAAAGTTGATTCCCAGGAGTCTGAACATCTCTTGGCAAATTGTTAAGAAAAAGTCTTTGGACTCAAGAGATCTTAGGACAAAACCTTGGGTTCTAGGGACACCTCCTACCTCCACCTTGGGTTCTAGGGAAAACCCTGCTTCAGCAGCTTGCTAGCTATGTCCACCAGAAAAAAAAATTGTAAAAAAATGTCAGTTATTCCTAAATTTATGTATAAATTCAACTGCAGCTCAAAGACAAAGCAGACTCTTTTGTTTAGCTTGATAAAAATGATACTGAAGTTCATTAAGAAAAATATACATACAGGAATGGCCCAGAAAATTACAAATAATGAAGACATATCCAGCTGTGTAGACTATTTGAAGATATCAGTATTATGACAGTTATCAAAAGAAAAGAAAAAAACAAAAGGGAGAATTTGACCAAAGTACATTATTTGCATGTATGGACATGTCACCTCTTTGCATGATAAATATACACTAATAAAAAAGAAACAGAGAAAAAAGAAGAAACACAAAGACGAGGGAAACAGATGAAAGGAGACTAAAGCATGGCTTCTAAATGCACTGCAATCTTAAGTGGATCCTGATATTCTTATTTCTATTATTTATATTTTATGGTATTGGGGTTTGGACTCAGGGCCTCATGCTTGCTAGGCAAATACTCTACCACTTGAGTCACTCCACCAACTCTTTTTACTTTAGTTGTTTTTCAGATAGGTAGGGGCTCACATTTTTGCCTCAGATCATGATCCTTTTACTTCTGCCTCTTTGTAGCTGGGATTACCACCATGCCTGGCTTATTTGATGAGATAGTGGCTTACTAACTTTTGCTTGGGTTGGTCTCAAACTGTAATTCTCCTATCTCTGCCTCCCAAGTAGCTAAGATAATAGTTGTGAGTCACTTTGCCTAGCTTTCTTCTTTCTTTTTTTTTTTTTTTTTGAGGTCTCACTATGTAGTCTATGCTGATCTGTAACTCATGATCCTCCTGCCTCAGTCTCCTAAGAGCTAGGATTATAGATATTCACTACCATGCCCTGCTAATTTTTTAATATTATAACATTATGGTTGTATAAACTGTACTTACAAGAAATAAATTCTGAAATACTGAAGATGAAATCTCAATGATCATTTCAACTTATTTTCAAAACTTTAGGACAAATATAATAGATATATAAATACAATAAATCACATAGGTACACATAGGAAATACAGAGGGGGTCAAAGAAGAAAATAATTTTAGTTTATAATCTCGCCTTCCAGGATAATAGAGCTGACTATTAATAACAGTGTTTCAGTATACAATGTAACATTCTTTTTTTCTGTGCCTAACACCATTCTCTCTTTTACAAAGAAAATGCTGCTGGTTTCTTACCGACTTTATCGGAGGTAGCATGGCTGCTAACAGTCCCAAAATCCTCTTCTGGGAGCACTCTGCAAACACTTGCTCAGGGCTTGGAGCAACCACCTTTTCCTCTATTGGCTTCTGAGACAACACTTCTAAGTTTTCAGTATCTGTGAGGTAAAATACCAAACTTTCAGGTTTTCTCAGTTCTACATGCATATAAAGAGGCAAGTAAACCACTGCACTGTCCCTGTACTGCTACAGAATGAAACTGGGACTTTATTCAAAACCTAGTATTATAGGCAGGTGTGGTGGTACATACCTGTAATCCCAGCACTCAGGAGGCTGAGGCAGCCTGGGATGCATAGTGAGACTTTGTTGAAGAAAGGAGGGGAGGAGAGGAGAGGGGAGGGGAGTGCTGAGCATGTCTTTGTGCAATCTCCCCTTCTAAAGAAGGCCTGCCAGGCAGGCCCTATTTGAGGGCAGCTGCCCTCCACAGCTCCCCATTCCTCTGACCTTGCTCTTAAATTAGATGCTCTCTAGCATTTAAAATCACCTTTTTAAACCCTTGTTCCTTCCTATTATTGCTTATACACTCTCTTCAACAAAATTAGAGATAAGGGCAAAATAGTTTCTGCTGGGTATTGAGGGGGTGGGGGGGAGAGGAAGGGGGCAGAGTGGGGGGTAAGGGAGGGGGTGGGGCAGGGGGGAGAAATGACCCAAGCCTTGTATGCTCATATGAATAATAAAACAATAAAAAAATAAATTAATTAACAACAACAAAAAAAATCACCTTTTTAACAATTCTGTATACTTGTATTTAACATTTATCGCCTTCTGATTTTTGCCTCTTTTAGTCATGTATCTCAAGCACCCAGCAATGTCTCTGGAACATGGAGGCACACGACAGTTGCTGCCTGAACTAGAATGCTGTTCTTCAGGGGAAAATCACTCTAGTGGACTTTGAAGACTAGGACTGATGTGGAGTGTCAGTCCTTTCTGAAAGCTGACTCCACAGGTAGGGCACAATGCCAAGTGCTCCCTCCCACCTCCAGCACAGAGCAGCCCACCTCCCAGGACTGCCACAAGGAGGCTGAGGCTTGCTCTTAGTCTCATCAGCCTGTAGCACCTTCTTCAGGTGCTGCACCTCTCCTCCATCCTCTAAAACCCCAGCTCTGATGGTACCACTGCTTGCCAGGCTGAGAGGATGGAACTTCCCAGGCAATCAGCTGGGGCCCTGGCAGCACAGTCCCATAGCAGCTCTCTGTTTCATCTTCCAGTGCTCTGCTCCTGTGTTGTTCTGGGGCCTTGGCTCATGGTGCTCTTTCTGCCCTGAATGCAGGTCCTAGCACATTCAAGATCTCTCACATTTCTCCCTTTCTCTGGTTTTATGTGGATACAATCTGTTCTAGAGAAAGACCAATCATGGTTAACATCCTCTTCCCCTTCTCTGGCAGAATCTCATTCCACCTCAAGTGACAGTTACTGTACCTTTGTCTTAAACCCTCCTGTACGGTGAGCTCCAGGAGGGCAGGAACCAAATGCCTGCCTGCCTGGATCAGTCCCTATTTCATCTAGGGTCTAGCATGGCACATAGAAGACACTTACTAAATACAGGGAATAAATAAGGCAGGAAAGTAGTCAAAGACAAGGAAAGATGACTTTCAAAGTGCTATCAGCTCCATCTGAACAGAACAGAGAAAACTTGGTTGCTAGACAATTTCAAATTGAGTACAAAAAATAGTCCAGCACGTGTGTACTTTAAGAAGAGATCAAGGTGATGGTCAAATATTCTTTACCTGATATCCAGGAGGCGTGTGAGCATCTGCAGATACATCTGGAATTTGGGTCTGACATGAAGGATCCTTCATTAGTAAGAGACCTTCATCTGCCTTCTTTCTTTCCTTGTAATCCAAAGGTCTGATTTCCTTGTCTACAGCTTTCTTTCCCTAAAAACAAGATAGTGAATATAAGAGAACAAAGGTTTCTTACAATGAAAGTTTATTCTATTTATAATATAATTTCAGCTAGTCTTGATAAACTAAAAAAGTTTTGAATTCCATTAGAAACATGTCACTCATTTCTTTTTTTTTTTTTTTTTTTCAGTACTGGGGTTTGAACTCAGGGTCTACATCTTGAGTCATTCCACCAGCCCTTTTATGTGATGGGTTTTTTCAAGATAGGGTCTCATGAGCAATTTTGCCCAGGCTGGCTTCGAACTGCAATCCTCCTGATCTCTGCCTCCTGAGTAGCTAGGATTACAGGCAGGAGTCATCAGCACCTGGCTAATGTCACTCATTTCTTATGATAAATTTATACTCTGAGATAGTGGAGTCATATTTCCCCAAACATCCTCCAAATGCCCTTCTGTCAGAGCCTGTAGTCACATAAGCAATGGCCTTCTTCCAAATTTACTTAGCTTCCAGAAGCTGAGTGTGGAAAGTCCTTCCCTTGGTTAAAAGACAAAGTTGTCAATTTCCTTCTAGTATACTATAGGGACCATTTTGATGTACTTTCTTTTTTAGGAGAAAAAATATTTACAATTAGAATAAAATTTTACATGTAATTATCTTTGATATTATTATGAAGATAAGACTACATCAAATCTAAAGCTTATAAATATGGTCAGGTGCAGCTGCTTTATTGATGTAGAAATGGGCATTCTTGGACTATGGGACAGAGTTGTGTGCTGTGTATTTTTTCACTCCTAGTTTTCTATGGAAGCTTTGCTAACATGGTAGGTGTTGACAAATCTAATCAGCCATCACTTGATCACACAAAACCAGAAACTATTCCTCAATAACATATACACACCCTCTCTACCATGTTCTAGCATTCTTTTCCAGTTGCTCTGTATTCTAACCAATCAAACAAGAACACCTCTGATGTCCTTACATCCCATTTGGCTCTCACTAGAGCTGAAAGACTTTTCTGGATTAGAAGCCTCAGGGTGAGCTGCCCCTTGGATAAAATTGTAGCCCTCGGCCTGCATTTCCCTGATGCTCGGCCTACACTCCTGGGACCTTAGGGTGCTTCTTCCCTGTGGTCACACAGGCTTACAGGTAGAATCTAGGCAGTGTGGAGTGAAGACAGCTCAGCTCCCAGTCTTCAAAGGCCAAACCTGACTTTTGCAGCCAAAGGTGAAGTGAAGTGTTACACAACATCAAACGCTCAGGGGAAGGTACTATTCCTTTCCATTGGCAGCTAACTTATCCTCCTCTCTTTGGATACCTGGACATCAGCTCTACCCCCTAGAGAAAAAGGGGGTTCTAAGATGGGATGAGACTGGGACAGCTACTTGTCTTGTTAAAAGTATACCCTCTGAGCTGGGTGGTGTATATTTGTAATCCCAGAGTTCGAGAGGTAGAGGCAGGAGGATTGTCAGTTTGAGGCCAAACTGGACTACATAGTGAGTCTGAGGCCAGTCCGGGCTATGCAGTGAGACCCTGACTCAAAAAAAAAAAGTGAATCCTCTAAAAAGACCTCAGCTACTATATTCCCCATACCCTGTGGCACTCTGAAGACAGTATAATTCTAAAATTCGGTGAATAACGTTGAACAATTTGAAACTTTTTTTTTTTTTGGTGGTATTGGAGCAGGAGCTCTACCACTTGAGCTACATCCCCACTATTGAATAACTTGAATATTAATCTTTTCTGTTGTCATAGGACTACAAAGGGGCGTGATGATTATACCATGGCACTCAAGGACCTCATTATTGGCCTGAGGCTGTGGTAGGCAGAATCCTCTGAATGATGCCACTGGTTAAGGTTGGCTTCTCAGTTGTTTAAAGCAAAAAGTGTCACTGGGAGTAGGGAGGGCAGATATAGCTAACAGGACCTGGGATTGGCTAGAAGCACGTAAAAATTCAAAATCAAGTAACTGTCAGCTATGTTGGAACACACCTGCAATCCCAGCACCCAGGAGGTGCTGAACACAGGAGGATTATGAGTTCGAGGCCAGCCTGGGGTACACAGTGAGACCTTGTGTCAAAAACAAACAAATAAAAACAAGTGATTTGTACATAAAGTCCCAAAGGAAGATGGTTCTTAGGGTCATCTTAGTGATGACTCTTGAAAGTGTGGCTGTGCTAAAAGACTAAGAGACTGAACCAAAGGAAGGATATCTTAGGTGTGCTCAGCTGTTAGTGGGAAGGGTACCCAAATGATAGGGTAGCTCAAGAAGAAAATTAATGCCTTTGGGCCATCTTAGAAAAAGTCTTACTTCAATCCTCAAGTAGGGGAAGCCCAAAACAAAGCTGAAACACCTTGCAATAACAGAAATTAAGAAAGTGTTCAAAGAATAATTGTGACATATCAAAAGGACACAAAGGCCAGCTGGAAGGATTTGCCATTGGCCAAACACAGAACAATCTGAACATGCATTAAGATAAATAATGGAGAGATTTTAATCCCTGAGTCCACTGTGATGTAAGCAAATGAATAAATGGACAGGTACATAAGATGCTAAGAGCTGAGTGACAAAGATATCCCCAGGCACAGAGATGAGGGCAGCTGATTTAGTCTATCTCCCCTGATCACATTCTCCCTTCTCTACATAACCCACGGAGGTTAAAGAGCTGCCAAGATCAGGGATTTGTGGCCCCAGTGTCAGCAGCTCAGAGACTGGCTGGGAGATCACATGGCTGATTTCTGCTGCTCTCTGGTAAAATGAAGCTAACAGGAATTTTCACACTCTGTCAGTCATCTTTGCTTGTCTTCCTCTACATAATAATGGGAACCAACACCCGGGAATCCTTGAATTAGTGACTGCATGAGGCAGAGGACAGAAACCTCAGTGGTTCCTGGGGCAAAGGCAGGGATGTGGATGACATGGACTCAAGCTTTGGAGGCAGTATCACAGAAGAAATCCTGTGCTTTTCCACCAAAAAAAAATTAAATTATCTTTTTTATTTTATATTCACAAAAACAATCTTAAGTGTCACTATCACAGGTTATACCTTGCCCAGAAAGGCTTTTTGTTTCTACAACTACATGTAAACTTGGCATCTACTTATTAAACGATAAGATTTTGGTATCACGTATTTGTTAACTGAACATAAAAAGAGCTACATGTATACAGTGTTCAGTAAGGGCTAGGAACTAACTTCTTAAATTGCATAATCTTGTTCACTCCTTATAAAATCCATCAGGAGGCAGGTAATGGAAGTTTGCACTGACATGGAACTTACCACGTAACTCCTTACAACAACCCTTGTTACAGACGTTATTTCATCCCCATTTACAAATGGGAAAATGAGGCAGAGACTGTGGCAACATGCCCGAGGTCTGACAGCCTGGTGGAGGGTCTGCACCCTTAGCCTCTCTGCTGTGCTTTCCCATGTGAATGGCTCCCCAATCAAACTGTGACTCTGCATAGTAAAGAAGTACTATTTACGTGGCAGTGTACTACTGGCCCAGCCTCTGCTGGCTGCTCAGCGAGTTGGATGGCTTTCTTCTCTAGCTGCTTCTCTGATGTTGGCATGGGCACTGTGACTGGCAGGGTCTGGTGTTCTGGGGTAGAGTCACCATCTGGCAATATACCAAGAAGAGCTAAAGCTTTAAGACCTACAGGGGAAGAAAACAAGAGAATGGTTAAAAGTTACAAGGGTTATCTCTGATAAGTACCACAAAGACAGATAGCTGAAGACTACACTAACCACCCAAGAACTCCCAACAGCAACATCCTGGCTGTCTACTCTATTAAAGCTGGACAGCAAAGGGCCATCTGCTCTTTGCTAACAACAGAACATGCAACAGGGTCATCTGTCTCCAAACTATAAATGTTACACTTGTACAGTAGCACCACAAAATGAGATTCCTGAATCCCACTGGCAGGGAGATATAAAGATTTCTCAGACACCTTGGTGATATCTACCTGCTATCTAGAACAGGTCTGATTCCCTGATGTTAACTAGAATAAAAAGTCCATCTGAGAGACATTAAATGTCTCAGAAGTTTAACATTCAAGTTATTTTCTCCCTAGCTCTCCTCAGAGAAAGTCATAATCACCTAGTTAAAACTATCCTTCCTTCCTTCCACTCACCCACACAGGATCTTGCTACATGGCCCAGGCTGGCCTCAAATTTATGATCCTACTGCTTCAGCCTCCCAAATGCTGGGATTATAGTTGTGTACCACTCCACTCAGCAAAACGATTTTACTTTTATAGATAGCTCTCATCTAGCATACAATTGCGTGGAAATAAATTCATAATCCAAGTTAAAAAAAAAGTCTGGTTTTCCTCAGCAAAGTTCATTAGATTCAATTACTAAATACTTTATCCACAGACTTCAAGACTTTTAGTTATTAATAGCTTCTTACATCATCATGTAAATATTTGAGAAATTAAATGTCACTTTATGCCAACAGTCTCTCAAGTGAACCTGGAATTTAAGTTCTAGGCCAAGGCAAGCCTCTGTTGTGGGTCACCAGACTCTCCCTGAGCTTGGCTTCCACCTGAGCTTTGCCTCCACCTGCAGCTGGGGGCTGGTCCTAGTGTCTGTGTACCAGAAAGAACAGTCACCTTTGCCCTGGTGAGCTTTCATCAGACAGTCTCCGACGAGCTGCATGCACTGGCTCCGCAGGGTGGCAGCACTGCTGCGGGCCTGGGGATTGACCTTCTCCCCATCGATGTCATCTGTGCTGGCCACGTGGGCACTATAGAGAGCCAGGGCAGCAAAGAGCAGCCAGGAATAATTGTGGATGTAGGGCTGGATGAGCCTCTGCCGATCACTGATCCGGATGGTTACCATGGGGTGGGCTGTGATGCTGTGGGTAGGCAAATGACTGCAAAGGCAAGACATTTTTATAAGAATTTGTGAGATTCCAAAAAGGAGCCTTGGGCCTCAGGGGAGTTTCAGACTTGGTTACTACTGGGTATTAGTCCCCTCTAGGATATGGCTATTGAAATTTTAAAGAGAGGTGTGGGTCAGCTCCCCCCAAAATGAACAACACAAATACTGGACATACCATTTCAGGATTTTACAACCCCTACAAAATTGGCTATGTGGCAATAGTGTTTTGGTAATTTAAGCTTATGCCCATAATTTTTAGAGCTAGATATAAAGCACACAGGAAAGAAATGATTTAATATCTGATTAAACATTTGCTTTAAATACTTTAAAAAGCTCTGCATGGTGGTACATGCCTATAATTCCAGCACTCAGAAGGCTGAGGTGGAGGATTTCGAGCTCAAGGCCAGCCTAGGCTACATAGCAAGATACAAAACAAACAAAAAAAACTTAAAGAAAAAGAAACAACAGGAATAAACTAAGTACATATAACAAAATCTTCCTAATTGTTCTACTTGCATAATGTACATATAAGGATTCATTGTACTAGTCTCTCTACTTCTGGATATGTTTGAAATTTTTTACAATGAAAACCATTTAAAAAAAAAAATAGGAAGGCTGGAGGTACAGCTCAGTTGTAGAGTTTTGCCTAGCATGTGTGAAGCCTTGGGTTCAATCTCAGCACAGCAAAAAAAAGCAAGAAACTCCCTTTAAGTGAAGAAATACATCAAGAAAAGGCCCATGTGGCTATGAAGCATCTGAAACATACCCATAGGAATACTTCTTTGCTGCATAGCATCCATAGCAAAGATCAAAGTCATCGCAAACATTGCAATTCATTCTCCGGCCTATGATCAAACCCTGGCAATGGTCACAGGTAAATTCCATGTTGACCATTTCATGATCATCTCCATGGCCCTCAGGCTTTACTCCACCTGGACAAAATACAGCAGTGTGAGGTGAATAGGGCAGAGAGATCTAAGAGGTACTAACAAACTGATCCCCACACCAGAGTTGTTTCCCATTTATTGTTCAGGAAGGCAGGAGCCAAAGGCACAGCCCTAGTGATCCTGAGCAGTATATGAATGACAGTCTCAGCCCAGAGCTCCTTGGCAATGATACATGAACTGACCCCCTTCTTCACTGTCACAGCAGGATCAAATAACTTATCAATTCCCATCATGACTTCTGTTTGGCAGACACAAGCCACAGCCAATTTGAGAGTTGTCCCCTGTAACCCTCCTCTGACAAATATTAAGCAGTGGTTGGTACTTCTGTCAACAAGTGCTAAGGAGTGATCAGGGCTCTGCCATGTCTTTTTCACTCTAGATGAAAAACACTTTATAACAGCAGAGGGAGAGGGACCAGTGAGCCAGACTGCTCTGGCCTCCTCACTCTACATTCAGGAGGTCCCAAGCTCTCACATGGACCCTAACTTAATACCTCAAATCTGACACTTCTGTTCCCATTGCCACAAATCTGATCCTGGTTCCAACACCCTTGTGACTATAGCGACTGCTTTACTTCTTAAAGCCTGACACAGGCAGGCTGTCTTCCTAGATCATAGCTCTGATTTTGTTAATATCCTAGCTGAAAAACCCCCCACTGTCTATAGACTCTTCAAATTCCTTAACCTATCATCTTGGGGTCCTATAATCCGGGTCCCGCTTGTCTTAATCCATCACTAAGTTGAACAGACACTCAAATGTGTTTATCTCAACTCACTGTAGGAGCTCAACTCTGTTCCTGGGCTTGCTCTGCCCTTTAGGGACAGTCTCCAGTGCATGCTTCGCATCATCCAGTTCTAACTTTCTTCAAAGACCAGTTCTCATCCTACCTCCTCCATAAGCCTTCCCTGAAGTAGTGCTGCTATACATTCATATTTTCCCAGAAATAGTCTATACTACTCATTTATAATTCAGCACATGCACTCATGTATGGGATATGTTTGGTCTCCCTGCTAGATTACAAGTGCTTCCAGGGTAGGAGCTGTGTTTTCTACTTCTGTGCCATGCAAACAAGAAACCCTTCAATGTTCACTGCTATTGATGTTCTTTGTCTCAGCACCTACAAGTTAAAAGTATTAAATAATTTTTGAAGTTTACTTTTTTGTATGTATTTTGCTATTTGCAAACAGTGCCTGATTCAGAAGCAAAAACTATTTCCTGAAAACTCAACCAAGTTCATTGGTCCTGAGTATATCAAGTGCCTGCCCAGCACCATGAGAGACAGGAAGATGTCAGATAAGATCAATGAAGTGGATCACTGAGTTGGGAATAAGGGTTCTTTACTTGCCAAGGAGTCAGAGAAAGACCACTGGGCAGTGTTTTATTTAGTACGAGAGTTTTAAAAGATGGCAAGACACAGAAAATAGAAACAATTTATTACTTTAGGTATAACATGGTCAGTCCATGAAATTTACTAGAAAGCAAGTTTGCAGAGATCCATGTCACTGCACTGCAAAACACCGGTAGCGATGCAGGTGCAATCTTCATCACACCCATCACAAAGAGATGGTCCACATTTAGCAGATCA